AGGTGCCACCTGGTGATCTTGGACAAGTTCTCTGTTTAGATTCTGCCTTCCCATCTTCATTCATCTGCCCATGATGTCGACTGAGCAGCTCTGCTGGGCGGGCCCTTGGGGCTTGGGGACATGGAGGACACTCAGCCGCGGATAGTAGCCACATCTAGCTTTGGACTGGATCGGGGGATGCCAGCAGGGCCTGGGAGGCAGGGAAGGCTGCCTGGAGGAGGCAACGCAGAGAAGGGCAGTACAGGCTGCAGGAACAGTATGTTCATGATGGAGGGCACAGAGCAGTGTGGGACTGAGGAACTGTGAGCCCAGGCTGGGGTGAGGCTGCAGGGCAACTGGGCTGGCTCAGGGGATATTGACACTGAGGGCAAGAAGGAAGGTGCAGGGCTTTAGGAGACAGTGCAACATGCCAGGGTCAGCAGACTTGGGCGGGGCCGGGAAGGCCAGCTTCAGGGTGAGGGGTGCTCCGACCGCCCTTCCCAGGCCTCACCTCACCTTCCTGCCCAGTTGACTACCTCTACCTCCTCTTCCGAGGGCTCTGGAGATGGCCTGCACCTCTTTCTCCTGAATTCTCCAGTCGTCTGGAAGCTCTGTGTGCAGGGAGCCTTTGTTCATGCCCCCCAGGCGTACACCCACCTGTCGGTGTCAGCACGCCCCACGCATGGCGGTTCAGCCTGGCTTATGACTCGGCCATGGCTGAGCAGTTGCTCAGGGCAATTCATCCACACAGAAGTGATGCCAGCCTGAGTCCCGCCCCCACCTGTAGCGTTCCTTCAGCTTCCACTGGACTTCCTGTCTGTCCTCAGGCCTGGCGTACTGGGGCTGTGCAGGGCCACGGAGTCAGGAATGGCGGGCTCTGTCACCGGCCCAGGCCCTTTTGAGGAGGGGATGAGCTGAGCGCAGTGGCCAGAGGCACAGTCATGTGGAAGTGGACGGGTCTTCTGGGGGCACCGCTGGGGAAGAGCCCTGAGGGGAACCAGGAGGCCTCGGGGGCTAGGGTCATTCTCTTCAGGAAAGGGAGGCTGTCCAGGGGCAAGGCCAGGCTGGGTCCAGTGGCCTTTGCAGAGCCGGGTGGGCATTTGGACAATGCCTAGGCAGAAGAGTCAGTGAGGAATGGGGCTCCCTCCCCTAGGAGGCAGTCACCTAAACCACCCCAGGTGGTGAGTGAGGAAGGGCCCACTTTATTTGGGTCACCCCAGCACCTGATGACACCTCAGCCCTACTCTCCTTGCCTCTGAGCAGGGCAGAGGTGCCTCCAGTGTGCTGGATAACCTTCTGACCCCCAAGCCGTGGCTGGAGAAGAGCTCACAGGGCAGGGCCAGAGGTGGGGAAGACTGGGGCCAGGGCTGCGGCCGGGCCTAGAGGCTGCAGGGGACTGAGGAGCTGTGGAGGTGACACAGAGTCACCTGTGGAGCAGAGAGGGAGATGGGGGAGGGCTTCAGGTGAGGGAAGCTGGTCGGGCTGTGTCGGGGGCTGTGGAGGGACGGGTGGTGTGGGGTGTCAGGGCCTGGCTGGATGGCATCTCGATGGGGTGGGCCAGAGCCGTGCCGGCTGCTCCTCCTGGGTTTCTCAAAGCCTGACCTGAGAGGACTGTGTGCGGGTGGCCTGACCTGGCACCTCCTGGCCCGTCTGCAGTGCGGGGCTGGCGCCTGCCATGATGGCAGCAAAGGCTTATCTGCCATCGGGCTTGGCATATGACTGTGGGGTATGGGCAAAGGGCCCATCCTCACGGAGCACAGCCCCGGGAAAGGAGTTCTGGAGGGCCTGGCTGGAGAGGAAACCCTCTGCAGGGGGCGGGCGGGGAGGTGGAGGAGGGGGCTGGCTGGATGGGGTGTGACCCAGGGCTGCGGGCTCTCAGGCCTCAGTCTTCGGGTCTGCCGAGCAGGCACACAGGCTGCCTCACTCGCGTCTCTTCCTGCCTCGCAGAACATGGGAGAAGGCGACTTGCCGTCCGGTGACGCTCATCGTGGGCTGTGGCGTATTCCTCTCTCACCCTGCTTATGCTGGTCATCATCTACGTGTCTGTGGGAGGTGGGTGCCGCGTTCTGCATCCCACGCCTCTTCCTCGAGGTCACGGGTGGGGTCGCTGAGCCCCTCCCTTTGTCCTCACCTTCCCAGTCACCTTCGCCTTTGCTACTGACCCATTCTGCTGTGGCTCCCTCCAAGGCCACCACAGGTTTCGTGAGGGCCACCCCACACACTCACGCTGTGTCCATGCTGCACAAACACAGGGGTGGGGCCCGGCTCCTGCCGTGCCCCTCCCCTGAACGTGTTCCCTGGCAATGCCAGCCTGAGTTCCTCCCAGCCGTGTGTGCCCCCTCTGCCTGCGCTTCCTGGCTTCCCTTGTCTACCCTCAGGCCTGCAGGCCAGGGCCACAGCCTTCCCCGACCCGTCTTAAGGCCCCAAATCCCTGCTCACTCTTCCACCCCAAAATTCCCTTTCCCTGTTACAGGGCTCCCAGCCTGCTGTCCATTCTGATTGTGGCCAGTGGGTTTTTGAGGCCACCTGGGCAGGTGTGAGGAGATGTGGAGGGAGAGCTCATGTTTGAGCAGTAACATGCCTGTTGAGTGTGTGGACGCGCCCTCCAGGCACTCCCACTATCTGCTCCTGTCCCATTGAGTAGAAGTGTGGAACAGGGAGCAAGGACTCAAGGTCACTCACTGCCCATGGAGCCGAGTGGGGACTCTGCAGGTGTGCGCGATGTCAGCCGATAATCGGAACTGACTGCCTGGCTGCTGCCCAAGGTCGGGCACTGGGAGGTCGATGTGGCAGGCGGGGGAAGGGTGTCTGAGCTTCCTGGAGACAGTGACCGGCTGAGTAGTGGCAGGAGCCCTCCACTGTCCTGCCTGACGGGACAGCATCCACTGGGCTCTAGGGGGACCATGGTGTTTCCTCTTCCTGGGACCTGCCTTCCCCTAGGCCTTGATTTCACAAAACACCTGGGGAATGGGGTTTAGGGCTCTGAACCAGCTCTGATGTCCTGAGTTCTGAGGAGGTTTTCTGCTGACAGTTTTCAAAGCATTTCAGAGCTCTCTTGGCCATCCCTGTGCCCTGTGAACTGCCGGCAGGGATTGTTCTGTGGTCCCCATGAGGAAGTGGGGACTCAGGAGAGAACAGACCTGCCCAAGGTCATGCAGCACATCAGGTCATGTCAGAGCCCCTGAGGCTCAGCCCTGTGCTCCTGCTTCCACTACGGACCTCAGTCCCTAAGGGCTACAGCGGTGGTGGTGATGGTGGTCCTGGTGGTGGTGTTTAGTGATGTGATGGTGGTAATGGTGCTGGTGATTGTGGTAATAGTGATGATGGTGGTGGGTGGTGATGGTAGTGATGGTGGTGCTGGTGGTGGTGGTGTGATGATAGCAGTGATGGTGATGGTGACAGTGATGGCTGTCGTAAGTGCTGGGCAGCCAAGATCGTGCAGTGCGCGTGACGACAAGCGCGTTACTGACACACGGTCACCCGCCGCGCCATGCCCGCCAATCGCGCGCGCCACCCTGGATAGAGGTAGGATGGTGGTGGTGAGGATGGTGATGGTGGCAGGAGTGGAGGGGGGGAGGAGGGGGGGGGGAGAGGAGGAGGAAGGAGGGAGTAGGGGATGGCATGCGGTGATGGTGATGATAGCACATGGGGTGGTGATGGGAGTGATAGTGATGGTGGTAGTTGCTGAAGTTGTGTGATGGTGTGGTGGTGGTGGTATGCGGTGGCAGTGATTGTGATGGTGGTAGTGGTGGTGATGGTGGGGGTGGTGGTGGTAGTGATTCTGATGGTGATGGTGGCAGTGGTGGTTGTGATGGTGATGGTGGTGATGTGGTGGTAGTGATGGTGGTGATGGTGGTAACGGTTGTGATGGTGGTCATGGTGGTTGTGATGGTGGTGGTGGTGCTGGTCCTGGTGATTATGGTGATGGTGGTGATAGTGATGGTAGTGATGGTGATGGTGATGGTAGTGGTGGTTGTGATGGTGCTGGTGATTATGGTGGTGATGATGGTGATGGTAGTGATGGTGATGGTGGCAGTAGCTGTGATGGTGATGGTGGTGATGGTGTGGTGGTGGTGATGGTGATGGTTGGGATGGTGATGGTGGTGTTGGTTGTGATGGTGATGGTGGTGATGTGGTGGTAGTGATGGTGGTGATGGTGGTAACGGTTGTGATGGTGGTCGTGGTGGTTGTGATGGTGGTGGTGGTGCTGGTCCCGGTGATTATGGTGGTGATGGTGGTATAGTGATGGTAGTGATGGTGATGGTGATGGTGATGGTAGTGGTGGTTGTACGGTGTTGGTGCTGGGGATTATGGTGGTGATGATGGTGATGGTAGTGATGGTGATGGTGGCAGTGGTAGTTGTGATGGTGATGGTGGTGATGGTGTGGTGGTGGTGGCAGTGACTGTGGTAGTGGTGTGATGGTGATGGTTGTGATGGTGATGGTGGTGTTGGTTGTGATGGTGTTGGTGGTGCTGGTGATTATGGTGATGGTGTGATGGTGGTGGTGGTGATGTGGTGATGTGATGGTGATGGTGGTAGTGATTGTAATGGTGACAGTGGTGCTGATGGTGGGGGTTGTGTTGGTAATGGTGATAGTGGTAATGATTGTGATGGTGATGGTTGTGATGCTTGTGTTGATAATGGTGATGGTGGTAATGATTGTGTGATAATGGTGGTGGTAGTGATGGTGGTGGTGGTGATGTAGTGGCGGTGGTGATGGTGGTGGTGATGTGGTGGTGATGGTGGTAGTGATTGTGTGATGATGGTGATTATGGTGATGGTGGTGATAGTGTGGTGGTGGTAGTAGTGATTGTGTGATGATGGCGATGGTGGTGATGGTGTGATGGTGGTGATAGTGGTGATGATGATGATTGTGTTGGTGATGATGGTAATTGTGTGGTGATGGTGGTGATGGTGGTACTGATTGTGATGGTGGTGATGGTGGTACTGATTGTGATGGTGGTGATAGTGGTGATGATGATGATGATTGTGTTGGTGATGATGGTAATTGTGTGGTGATGGTCGTGATGGTGTAATGGTGATGATGATGGTGATGGTGGTGGTGCTGTTGGTGACAATGCCTGCAGGAAATGGGGTGGGGCCCTGGTCTTGGTGCCACAGGACCACAGCTCCTGTGCAGATGGGGTTCTGTTGGGTGCTGACCTTGGGACCCCACACTCTCCACAGGTACATCCGCTCGGAGCGTTCTGTCATCCTCATCAACTTCTGCCTGTCCATCATCTCCTCCAATGCCCTCATCCTCATCGGGCAGACCCAGACCCGCAACAAGGTAGGCAGCCTTGTGTCCTGTCGTGCACCTCCCGGCATCCTTGGGTGGTGAGGACGAACCCCAGGAGGGGCCTGGGCTGTGGGATTCCCGGGAAACTCAAGCAGGCAGGTGTGGGGCAGGAGGAGGCTGCCCCAGCTACAGGGAGTTCCCGCCCTCCGCTGTGGCTGCAGGAGCCTGTCAGGGGCTGGTCAGCCGGCTGGAAGGGCAGCTTGTGTCCCAGCGTCTCTGCTGGACATCCCTTCAGGATGAGCCTGCTTCAGCCCTGCCCAGCCCGCTGTGGGCAGTGGACTCGGCCTCAGCTCAAGCTGCCTCAGGGCTGGGGAGTGGCACCCAAGAAGAGTGGCACTGTGGTGACAAGAGGCTCCCATGGTCCACCCTCTCACCCCCACCCTCGCCAGCCTTGAAGCTGGCAGCTCATGGTGGGCCCCTGCCTGCCGTCTCCAGACCTGCCATCCCTGGTTCCTACCCTGTGGTCTCCACGCCCCATCCCACTAAATGTGGCAGGCACGGCCTTTGGCTGGGGGCCTCTGCTTCCTCAAGGGGCTACACTGACAGTGTAGGAGAGAAAATAAAGCAAGAGGCCCGCAGGGAGATGGAGAAGGCCTGGGCCCAGGGCCTGCCGTGTGCTGTGGCAGAAGCTCAGGGCCGCGGCGTGGGTGAGGTTGCCTGCCACTTGCTGTGTGTCCTCGGGGTGTGACATGCCCTCCCTGGGCCTTGGGCTTACTACCTCCTGAATGCATGGGCAGGCACCTGGACTTTAAAAGGGCCCTGCTTAGCATTTGGTATGGCTATGAATGGTGCTGAGGAAGACGGAGAGGGAGGGTCTGTTTGTCCCAAGGGGGCTTAGACGGTCAACAACCCATCTCAGGGCAGGGACCAGGTGATCTCTGGATTGCCTTCTGCCTGGGGACCTGGTCGGGTCCCAGCGAGGGTGCTGGGTGCTGGGCCTCCAGCTGCAGACAGGCACTCAGTGGGGGCAGGTGTGGGGCCGGGGAGCACCTGCCCAGCCTGTCCTGCCCTCGGCCCCACGCAGGTGGTGTGCACGCTGGTGGCCGCCTTCCTGCACTTCTTCTTCCTGTCCTCCTTCTGCTGGGTGCTCACCGAGGCCTGGCAGTCCTACATGGCCGTGACGGGCCACCTCCGGAACCGCCTCATCCGCAAGCGCTTCCTCTGCCTGGGCTGGGGTGAGCCGCGACCTCCCCGACCCTCCTGGGCAGATGTTCCTCCTCCTGGCTCCGACTGCTTGTTCTGCCCTGGCAGCCCCTCCTCTCCCCGTGCCCTGTGGACCCCTGGGGCCTCAGTTGCTGCTTGGGTAGGCTTCTCCCTCTGGGCCCTCGTTCATCCATGGAGTCGCCAGGTAAAGCACAGGACACCCAGTTCCCTCTCATGTCTAGATAACAGAAGCATTTCTAGCACGAGTATGTCCGGTGCACTGTTTGGTACTTACATATACAAAAAGATGATTCCTGATTTCTCTGCGAGTCAGTTGTGCCAGGCACCCTGTGCGTTCTCTGCTCATGGGACCGCCCCACGCCCAGCTCCACAGGCCCTTGCCTTGTTCATCTCCTGCCCCATCTCTTGCTCAGCCCCATCCTCTGTTGGGGGCTTCAAAAGCCTGGCCCCCCCTCCTCCAAGGCAGGGCTGGGAGGAGGTGGAGCCTGGCTGGGGACCTGGGTGGGGCCAACGCCCTTTCTCTGCTCCTTCAGGGCTCCCTGCACTGGTTGTGGCCATTTCCGTGGGATTCACCAAGGCCAAAGGGTACAGCACCATGAACTAGTGAGTGGGGGCATTGGGGGTGTGGTGGATGGCCGCATGGCCCCCAGAGCCTTCCGCCGCCCTGGAGGGTGAGGGCTGGCCATGCCTTCCCCCTGTGTGACCCTGACCATCTCACAGAGGCTCAGGGAGGGTGGAGCCCCAGGGGCTGGAGGCTGAGCCCCCTGGGCAGCCCCTCCCTGTTGGTCAGCCAGCTTCTCCCTGGCAGCAAGCAGTGGGCAGTGGCACTGAAAGAAACCAGGCTCGCAGGGCCCCCCTCGGTCAGTTGGTCCATTAGCCACTCTGAGCCTCAGTTTCCCCATCTGCTTGGTGGGGAGGCCACCTCTGCATGGTGCTAATGAGAGGGAGGGCTATTTGAGACACAAGCGCTCTGGGCACAGTGGGCACACCCCTACAGCAGGCCTGTGGCAGGCAGGGCAGGGGTCGGAGGCTTATTTCACAGATGACATCACTGAGACCCTGAAGGGTCAGCTCGACCAGGTCCTTGGGGCCTTAAATGGCAAGCCAGGAAGCTTGTTGTCATCCTAAAAGCAGTGTGGTTCCCAAGGTGGGGAGAGAGGGTCTGGGGCTCAGGACGGGCAGAAGAACTGGGGTGGAGAAGGGGAACCGAGGCTTGGAGGGAGGGCCTGGCTGCAGGGAGGGGAGCAGTAGGAATCGAGAGGCAGGAGGAAGTGACCCATGCTGGCTGAGTGGGAGGACTGCAGCGGGCCTGGCTCACTCTGGAGCCCCTGGGAACAGGATGTGGCACCCCCTGGAGCCCTGCCCTGAGTGGCCATAGGGAGTGGACATAGCTGAGGGCCCAGGGGGTGAGTGCTGAGAGGGAAATCCAAACACTGTCTCCAGAGATGAGAGAAACAAACACCTGGCCTGCCGGAGCCAGGGATGGATCAGGAGGGGATGGGGACATTGAAGTGGGGTTCTGAAGGATGAAGAGGAGTTTGTTTGACAGACAACATGGGGTAGGCTGCTCAGGGCAGAGGGAACAGTCCTTATTGGGTTTCAGATTTCCATGGGCACCACAAGTGGTGTCCAGAGATCTCGGGAATGTGGGGCTACTGACTGGGTGGGTGGTGGGGAGGATGCAGACCAGATGTGTGAGCATAGGACCAGGTGTTGAGGCCACAGGGCCTGAGCCTTATGGGCCAGGGACCCAGGCTCGGCATTCGAGTATCACGTCAGGAAGGAAGGTCTGCCAGAGACCCCAAGAGAAGAGCCGGGAAGGGTCCAGGCCTGGAGAAGGAGGGGCAGTCAGGTGACCTTTGCCCTGCCAGCCTGGTGCCCCTGCTGTGTGGCTCTAAGCAGATGGGTCCCCCACTCTGGTACTATCCCCATCTGTAAAATGGGAGTGACGATGACTGCCTAGGGGTCCTGAGGATTCTAAGTCTAAAGAGCGGGTGTGACCTGCCCTGCACGCAGAAGGCGCTTAATAAGTGCTAGTTTTCTTCTGCCACTTCCCAGCTCACTTCCCCTACTCCTGAGAGGCCGGTAGTGCCCCTCTGCACGCCCCTCTGCACGTGGGCGGTGCTGATGGCCTGTCTCCTCCCCAGCTGCTGGCTCTCCCTGGAGGGAGGACTGCTCTATGCCTTCGTGGGACCGGCTGCTGCCGTTGTGCTGGTACTGACCTGCCTGGACCCCACTCCCTGCAACCCTGCCCGGGCCCCCCACCTGCCTCCTGGGCCTCGGTGCTCTCTCCTGCCCCAGGCTGTGCACCTGCTGTCCCTTCAGGATGGCCCTCATCACCAGGGGGTGGGGGTGCCCACAGCCCCGCTCTGACCTGCCCTCAGAGTGCGGTGTAGGGGCTGGGCCAGGGTAGTGACCCTTCACACCTGTGAGTCTCAGCTTGCCTGATTATTGGGCGCCAGCTGTGTACCTGCCAGGAGATCCCCGTGGGTGTGGTGAGTGGCATGGGAGGAAGCTGGGGACAGACAGGTGATGCGAGCGGCGGGGAGCTGCAGGCTAGACCTGGGTTGTGGGTGTCTGGCCCCAGAGCGCCAGATGTGAGGCTGGTGACCAGGGCTGCTTGCCCCTTTGGAGGCCCCAGTGAGGACCTTCCCTGCGTGGGTCCTTGGACTTTCCTTCCCACTCCCCTCCCACCTTTGTGTGGAGGAAGGCAAGACTGTGGCAGGTGGCATGCAGGGTCACTGTCCCGGGGTCACAGATGAGCAGCAGACTGGGGGACCTGCCTGGGGTCACTGGCCTCTACTGGGTCCAGCTCTGAGCCTGCTTAGCCAGTCCCCGTCCCTCTACTCTGGCGGAGCACCAGGGTTCACGCCCAGCATCACCTCCCCTCCCCTCTCCCCCCAGGAGAGGCCATCCATGTCCAGTAATTCCTGCCATCATGGGCGGTGTCTGCAGGGCCACACCCCCTTCTAGTGGGGACTCAGGCACAGGCTGGGCCCAGCAGAGAAACGTGCATGGGGGGCGAGGGGGTGCTAGCCCTGCAGGGGCAGTTGGGGAGCCTAGTGGGGGTTGGAGGGGCAGTGGGACGCCATCCCTGGGTAGCGCCAGACCCCTCCTGACAGTCCTGGCTGTGGAACCCCACCGTCTATTCCTTCCTCCAGGCAGGAGGCAGGAGAGGAGTGGGGCACCTGTCAGCACCTCTAGAGCTGGCCTCAGTGCCAGCTGGGCAGTGCCCCAGGCACCTGGGGATGGAGGTTGTGGGAAAGGGGACAGAGACAGGAGCCCTACCCCGTACACCCTCCTCAGGATATCAGGAAGGCAGTCTAACTCAGGCGGCTGTGGGACCTGAGCCCCAGCAGCCCCTCCTGTCCTTGGGAGCATGTGGTGCAGGCCAGACAGAGCCTGCTGCAGGCAGTGGCCGTCACTGGTGCCCATCCTGTCTTCTCTGCTCCGGCCACATCAGAAAACTAGGCTGCCCAGGAAAGAGGCCACCGCCCATCAGGCTGGCCAAGGCTGTGATGTGGGTGTCTGGGAACTGCATCCATTGTGCAAAGCAGGCCGGGTGTGTGGTCGTGAGCCCTGAGCTGGAGGGCTGCACAGTCTACCACCCTGGTCTTCTGGACGTGAAATGCCTAGTCCAGGGGTCCGTGGAGTCCTGGGGTCTCCCAGCCTCCAGCTTCTGGAACCTGGGCCTGAGGAAATCAGGCCCTGCCCCTCGGGGTCCTGGCAGCATCTTTCTGCAGAGTAGGGATGCAGGAGGAGGATCTTTCTGCAGAGTAGGGATGCAGGAGGAGGGCCTCAGGGAGCCTCTGGCAGTTGGGGAGCAGAGAATATGGCCTGAGACTCCTTCCCCTTAGCAGAGGAGGCCGGGAGACAGGAGGAGACCCGCAGGTGCTCAGGGCCAGTGGCTTCTCTGGGGTGCTCCGGGAACAGCTCTTGTCTTGAGTGGTAGCCTGGACAGTGGCAGGCATGGGAGACTTACATTGGAGCCCAAGAAGAGCCTCTCTGGGTGCAGGCGCCCAGCCGGGGCCCTTATGGGGTGGGCAGTTAGTTTGATGAATAGAAGAGGGAGATCAGGAAGGGAGTCTAGAGAGAGGAGGTGGCCTGCCCAGAGCAGAGAGCCAGGAGGCGTGTGACCCCAGGGAGAGCCAGGATTGGTGTCCCTTAGGCAGGTTTCAGCTGCAGGCTGGCAAGGGCCTCTGGACCCTGTGGGTGCGGAACTCCCTGGTGGAAGGGATGCAAGGAGCACAGCAGAGGTGCTGACGGTGCGGGTGACACACAGAGAGGGCCCTGCATGGTTGGCAGCTGGGCTGGAGGTCACCTGACGTCACATCAGGCACTGGGGTTCCTGTGATGGAGGCATGGGAGGTGACCCTGAGTGTGGTAGGGGGTCATGGTCAGCATAGCCAGCGTCAGTCCAACCAATGTCGGCCCTGAGCCTACAGCGGCCCCCACCCCCACACTCCCACCCCTCTCTACCCGGCAGGTGAACATGGTCATTGGGATCCTGGTGTTCAACAAGCTCGTGTCCAAAGACGGCATCACGGACAAGAAGCTAAAGGAGCGGGCAGGGTAGGACCAGGGCCATGCGGCTCCTTGCCCACCCGGAGTGCAAGATCCAGAGCCCACCCAGCCCCGGGCTCCCGGGGGATGGAGGATGCCATGCCCAGTCCGAGACTGCATGTCCAGGGACCCTGGAGCGGGTGGGGAGACGGAGGCACTGAGTACAGAGGCCCCTTAGGCTGAGCCAGCCCCTCTCACTGTGCCACAGTTTCTCCATCTGACCTGGGCAGGGTGGACCCCATAAAGTCCTCAGAAGCGGTGAAACTGATTGTGCAGGGACACCCCACCTCTTCCCGGCTCACAGGGTGGCAGCAGGGCACCCCCGATGCTGGGTGCTGGGGGTCCCTGGCCTCCCACTCCCCCACCAAAAGGCTTGCTGCATGGCCAAGGGGAGGAGGATGTCGCCTGTCCATGCAGGGACTGTCCTTGTGGGACCTGCATCATGAGGAGGACGGTGCAGGGGACAGGTGGAGCTGATGCTCTTCCCTCCAGGGAACCCAAGCCCAAGGAGTGCTCTCAGCATAGCAGCTGACAGGGCCCAGGAGCAGGGTGGAGGCGCTTGGGATGTGTGGCTGCGCCCACCTTTCAGGGACAAGGTCCTGGGCACGGGGAAGTTGCGGGGCATGGGGAGCTGACTAGGGTGGACGAGCCCCTCTTTGTCCTCCCGCCTCTTCCGGCCCCCCGCCCATCACCTCTGCCTGCTTCTCTGTGTCTTCCAGCCCTGGCTGGTGTCTGTGTGGGCCCCTCCCCTCCGTGCCAGTCTTGCTTGGATGCTCTGTCTCTCTCTGTCTCTCTCTCTGTTCCTGTGTCTGTCTCTTCCTGGCTCCTCTTGCTGTCCCCAGTGAACAGAATCTTCAGGAAGCCTTCCCCTTGGGTGCCTGTGGGTTCTGCTCCTGGTTAGGAACCAGCCGAGCTGGCCCCCGATGCTGAGTGTGTGGAGTGGCCCTGGGTTCTGTCACTCGGGGTGGGAGTCCCGGTGCTTTGTCTCCTGGCCTGGGAAGTGGAGGCTGGAACAGATTTCTCTAAGGCTTTGCCCCACCTGCCCCCGTAACACCCTGTCCCACACTGCTCCCGAGACAGCAGTCACACTCAGAAGAGGTCCCCATGGCTGCACATCCGGGGTCTGAGCATGGCAGACTGCCTGCCGTTACCTGGTCGTAAAAGCAGCAGTGATCTCGGGTGCTCACCCATGTGGATGTTTTGTTTGCTGCTTAGAATAACCATGGTGGCAGATTCTGTGGGTATGTTCCCATCTTACAGCTGAGTAAATGGAGGTTTAGGGAGGGTGAGTGACTGGTGGAGCTGAGCTTCCAGCCCGGGTGGGCACACACTAGAGCCAAGCCCAGGCGGCCCGCACTCTGCCCACCTCGCCCTGTGTGTGCAACGGGCCAGCTGCGTTAGGTGCACACATCCCGGGAGCACACCCAGACTCGCCTGCATGGCCGTGTAGGATTCGCTGCCCATATAGACAGGGATGGAGGTTGGGGTGGAGGGGTGCCCAGTACACTGGTCTGTGTGTACACGCACGCCCACACGCATGGGCGCACACGCGTGGGCATACACATGCCAGGAGGACCTGCACGAGGTCCCTGCCCAGGTCAGCTCCCTCTCAGACACATGGGAAGGGGAGAGGAAGGTGCAGTGGCCTCCTTTTGGAAATTTTGCCACTTTGTGCGGACGGAGTCAGGGTCCACCCTCAGCTGAGCACAGGAGCGCCGTGCTGCCTCCCCCCACGCCCGCCACGTGCAGCTCACAGCCCTGCCCACCACAGTGCCCACGCCCAAGGCCTGAGTTCGTGAAGTGGCCGAGAGCCCCCAGGACCGTCCCTGTTGGAGCCCAGGCTGGACTCCTGAGTGGCTGGTTTTGCACTTTGGCCCCGCCCCTCCCGCCTGGGTTCTGAGAGCAGAGCGCTTGCTTTTGTTTCAGCCTTTTAATTTCACTTGCAGTCAGCCGCCCCCGCACCCCCTCGGGTGCACCCTCAAGTGTGCCGAGTGTGGAGTCCTCTCTGCCGCCGATGCCACCTCCGATGCCACCAGTAACGCCATGTTAGTGCCTCTGCTGCCACCTCCCTCCTAGGCCCACCCTTGGGGCTCTGCGCTCTCTGAGTCACCTTTTGTTTATGTTTATCTTTCATTTCTTCCTTTTCTGCCGTCCACTCTGGGTTTCTAGGCCACTCCTGTCCACCGACCCACTGCCCCCAGCTCCTCCTTCCATCCTGCCCGTAGGCCTGCTCTACGCCTGGCAGCACAAGGCACCACGGGTGCAGGGCGTGGGGCCGGGCCTGGGCACGGGTGGAGTGCAGCTGTGGGCTGGGCTGCGGTTGGGAAGGAGCGGTCAGTCCTGTCCCTCCAGAGCCCGAGTGTGTGCCAGGCTGCAAGCTGTGGTTTGTTGGTTCTGGAGTTGAACCCCCACCCCCACCCCTGGTGCTGCTGGCATGGAGCCCAGGAAGGCTGATGCTTGGGCAGGGGTCTGCGCCTGACAGCCCCACAGCTCTGTGGTGGGGCGAGGAGACTGGCCCTGGCTTGCCTAATGGGAAGCCTCCCTCCCTGTGAGTGCACGTGAGCACGCATGTGAGAGCATGGCCAGGTATGTGTGCACGCATGTGAGTGTGCATGCGTGCCAGTGGGTGTGTGTGTGCCTATGCAAGAGTGTCACCAGGTGTGTGCATGTGTATGAGTGCATATGAGTGTACATGAGCGTGTGTTCGTGTGGGAGAGCATGACCAAGTGTGTGTGTGTGCGCACGCCCATGTGAGAGCACTTACTTTCGTTCCAGGCTTTTAATTTCGCTTGTAGCCTACTGCCCCAGTGCCCCCTTGGGCACGCCCTCAGGTGTACTGAGTGTGGAGTTCTCTGCTGCTGATGCCACCTCGGGGGCACAAGTGTGCAAATGTGTGTACAGGTGTGAGAATGTGCCTGGATGTGTGCATCATGTGAGTGAAACCCGATGTGCGTACATGTGAACGTGCATCTATGTGTGCATATGTGTGAGCGTGCATCTATGTGTGCATATGTGTGAGCGTGCATCTGTGTGTGCATATGTGTGAGCGCGTGCATCTGTGTGTGCACTATGTGTGGCGTGCATCTATGTGTGTGTACGTGTGAAGGCGTGCATCTATGTGTGTGTACCTGTGAAGCATGCATCTGTGTGAAGTCAGCCCAGTGTGTGTATGTGTGATGAGTGCATCTGTATGAGCGCAACCGGTGTGCCTACGTATGAGCAAGCATCTATGTGTGCATATGTGTGAGCGTCATCTATGTGTGTCTACGTGTGAGCGTGCATCTGTGTGTGTCGTGTGGCGTGCATCTGTGTGGCACACATGAGCCATCTGTGTGTGTGCGTGTGAGTGCATCTGTGTGTGTGTGCGACGGGCGTGCATCTGTGTGTACCTGTGAGCATGCATCTGTGTGTGAGGTGGCCAGTGTGTGTATGTGTATTCGTGCATCTGTATGAGCGCAACCGGTGTGCCTACGTATGAGCAAGCATCTATGTATGCATATGTGGCGTGCATCTGTGTGTGTACCTGTGAGCATGCATCTGTATGAGCGCAACCGGTGTGCCTACGTATGAGCAAGCATCTATGTATGCATATGTGTGAGCGTGCATCTGTGTGTGTACCTGTGAGCATGCATCTATGTATGTGAGTGCAGCCCAGTGTGTGTATGTGTGAGCGTGCATCTCTGTGAGCGCAACTGGTGTGCCTACGTATGAGCATCGATGTGTGTGTGTGAGTGTGCATCTGTGTGTGTACCTGTGAGCGTGCATCTGTGTGTGAGTGCAACCCAGTGTGTGTACGTGTGGGTGTGCATGGTGTGTGAGTGCAACCTGGTATTTTGTGTGGGCGTGTGTGTATATGTGTGTGTATATAATCGGGCATGTGCCTGTGTGTGCAAGTGTGTGCATGTGGGTCTGCATGTGAGTATTGTGTATGTGGGAGTGTGTTTATAGGTGAGTGTCTGTGCGCGCGCATGTGTGCCTGAGAGCAAGAAGCAACCAGGGCCAAGGGAACAGGGAAGGAAGTGCTCAGAGTCAGTGGCTGCTCTGCTGGCTTGGGCAGCCTTAGGGGCTGTGTGGAGGGAGGGCGGTTTGGGCTTAGGTGGGTGGGGCCAGTTGGCCTAGAGTGTCTGGGGTTTCCAGCCTGAGGGGTCATCTTGTCCATGCCCTGCCTCCCTCAACCCAAGGTGAGCCTTCACGGCCGCACCCCCAGGTGCATACCCCTGTACCCTCCTGCTTTGCTCCCTGAGCTAGGCACTAGGGGCCCAGGGTTTTAGGAGCCATGGGAGAAAGAGCTCTGGGCCCTGGTGCTGTGCAGATGCGAGTCGGGGTGAGGCTAGCCTGGGTGGGAGGAGTAAGCTCGGAGTTGGGGCGGCGTCCACACTGGCCTGCCAGGCCCTGGGAAGTTCCGGTTCTTTGGGGCTAGTTTGTGCTTTCTTTGTCTCAACACCCGGGATGGGGCGGAGGCTGTGAGATCGGCCCGTCTCATTCCATCAGAGAGAAGCGGAGGCGGAGGCTGTGAGATCGGCCCGTCTCATTCCATCAGAGAGAAGCGGAGGCCATACGGATGTTCTCTTGAAAGTCACTCAAAGCCTCTCCCCACACCCCGGGCACCTGCCTCTCCAGACGGGAGCAGGTGCGGTGCAGCTGGGCACTCCTGGCCTCCCCTTCAGCGGCTCCCGGGCCTTTCTGCTTCCTTCCCACCGCGCTCCGCAGAAGTGTTTTCAAGCTACAGAGGCCGAGCTGCGGTGTGGGAGTAATTTACAGGGCCCCAGGCCACCTGCCAACGGCAGCAGATCAGGCTGTAAATGTCAGGCCTGGAGACCCAGCCCCCTGTTGGGCAGCAGCGGGGATGACTGGCAGCAGGCAAAGAAGTCTCCATGGGGAGCGAGGCCCTGCACCTCCTCTCAGAACTTGGGTGAGGAGAGGAGTCCAGGGTCCTGGCTCAAAGAATACCAGCTTTGGAAGGGAGAAGAGAGATTCTCCAGCTTATAGCCATGGGAAAACCAAGGCCCCAGCCGAGGGGTCCTACTCTGTGTCAGTGAGTCATTCCTTGGCTCTGTGAATATTGATGGAGGGCCTCCTCGTCACACAGGCTCTGTGCCAGGTGCAGGGACACAGCAGTGAGTGACAGCCAGGGCCCTGTCTGCTGCTGCAGCCTGGAGGGAGTGGCACCATCATGGGCAAGGGAGGCCTCTCTGGCCGCCTAAGTTCCCAGGCAAGGCGTGCAGGGGGAGCAGGGGCAGGCTCTCCAGGGCCAGAGGAAGGGCGAAGGAGGTTGGGGGCCTCTAGCAGACTCCAAAGTTGTGCAGGGAAGAGGGAGTCCCATGAGGCTTTTAGAGGCCATCCTATGCCCAAGAGCAGGAGGGGCAGGTGTGTGGCCAGGGCCACCGTACCCTGAGACCTGGGAGGCAGTAGCTGTGCAAGACCAGGCCCTCTGTCCTGGTGCTGCTCCGGGCTCTGGGCCTGCATGTGTCCTAGCCATGGGTTTGTGGTAACACCTGAGGCTGGGGCCAGACGGATCACCACCAGACAGCATCACTGAAGAAAAGCAGGCCCAGGCCTGGGGTAGAGGGCTGGGCGGAGGAGGGGAGGAAGAGAGTCCAGGAGGTGGCATGGGGGGCTGGGCCTGCTGGGAGGTCCCAAGAGATGGGGACACATTTCCCTTGGGGGCTGGGCCCTGCACGGATGTCCCACACTAGGGGTGGGAGCAGCACTGGTGGCCAAGCCACGCTGGAGAGGGCTGAGGAGCAGAGCATGCGGTGTTGGGGGCCCTTGTCTTGGTAGACTCCAGGTCATTCCAGCATCTCTCCTGCCAGCCCTCATGTGCCAGCTCCTGCCTGGCATTCTGACCCAGAATGGATCCCTAGCTCCCTGTTCAGTCCTCCTGCCCCAGCTCCCCCTGCCTGCAGGGCAATCTTGTGCAGGAGGAGGGGAGGAGGGAAGGAGGGAAGCTGGCGCCAGCACCCATTCCTGGTGGTGATGACAGTCCTACAGGCTGTGGGGCCCCCTGCGGGCAGGCACAGGGCCACCTCCTGAGCACTTGCCACGGCCGGGGTCCTGCTGGCCTCTGTCGGTGTCCCGCAGCCCTGGGAAGCAGCTTGGTGTCCCCACTGTGAGGAGGAGAGCACAGGCTCAGAGGCCACCACAGAACCCAGTGGGTGGATGTGGGGAGGGGCCCAGGTCTTCACTGCTCCCAGCGAGGCTGGGCTACAGGGGCAGGGGCGAGGACTGCTGTGGGGCTCCTGGAGGACTCTCTGGGAGAGAGGGTGGCACTGAGGGGTGGAGGCAGCAGGACAGGTCTACAGGCAGGTGGCTGCTGGGGTTCAGGAGGCATGGGCAGAGCTGGCCCGCGAAGAGGAGGAGGCGCCTGCCCGTCTGTCTGTTGTCGCCTGTCTCTGTCTCTCCTCCGCTCCTCCCCTGCTGGCTTTGTCCGTCCATCTGTCCTCTATCTCATTCCCTCCAAGCTTCTCTCTCCCTCCAGGTCTCTGAGTTCTGGGCTCCACCCTCCTTCCCCACCATGGCCATCTTACTCTGCCCTTCACGGCCTGGACCCCTTGCCTGGGGCCTGTGGGCTGTCTGAGGGTCCTGGACCAGGGGATCCTACTTGGCCCACCCCACACCAGACAGCCCGTCTCCCTCCAGCCTGTCTCCCCTCCCCTGTCACCTCCTAGACTGTCAGAAACCTGGATCTTCCCCAAAGAGCCCTTCCCCCTTGCCCAGCTTCCCAGGACCTCCCTCCTGAGTCCCTGGGTCCCCTCAGAGACCTCGGGCTTGGGGAGGGGGTTCTGGGACCTCAGTGTTGACGGTGGGCTCTTCCCCAGCCTGGGGGACGGGCTCCAGAGGGAAGGGGCAGAGCGTGGGACAGGATTGGGGGAGCCCTAGGGAGGAGAGAGGGTGCAGATGCAGCCTGGGCAGTGGAGGACCCCTAGGGAGACTCACCCCAGAGAAGATGTACTGCTTGACCCAGGCCCCCAGAGACAGAGACGGGGCCTTAGGGCTGGGTCGCCACCAAGGCCTGGAGATGCAGGGTTCAGGGCAGGGTGTCCCTGGGGGCAGGGGCTGGGGCGGCAGCGCTGACGCCCTCCATCCCCAGGGCCTCCCTGTGGAGCTCCTGCGTGGTGCTGCCGCTGCTGGCTCTGACCTGGATGTCGGCCGTGCTCGCCGTCACCGACCGCCGCTCCGCCCTCTTCCAGATCCTCTTCGCTGTCTTCGACTCGCTGGAGGGCTTCGTCATCGTCATGGTGCACTGTATCCTCCGTAGAGAGGTGGGTGGGACAGCCTCTGTCGGGCCGGCTTCCTGTAGGGTCCTGGGGCTGCCGGGTGGCCTCTTCCTTCCCCGAGGACTTTGGCAGGGAGATTGTGGGTAGGCGCAGCGTCCGTGGCCCTGATGCATCTGCAGGCCTCGGTGGTCCACAGAGCGGGGCCTGCAGGTGAACGTGTCCCCCCTACTGTCCCTGGGAGCGGCCCAGGCAGTGCAGCACCTTCCCAAGGATGCCCTGCACCTGGCTTAGGGGCGTGGGGGACATGGGGCCCCCATCCTCAAGGGGCCCCATCCTCAAGGGGCCTACAGGAGCAAGGAAGCCAGCAGCAGAAGTAGACAGCTTCCAGGGCAATAGAGACTCCTGCTTCTGGCGTTTTCTGGATCTTTCCAGAAGGTGTCACTAGAAGGTTTTCACCAAACTACATCCCAGCTACCACCTGGTGGCCACAATCGGGATGCTCTTGCGGAGGCTGGAGTGTGGGAAAGCTGCATGTCGACCTCGGTGGACAAGGACACTTGCTTCCAGATCAGCACCAGAAGGGCGGAAGGCCTAGGAGCGGGGTAGCCACCTCTCTCTTCCTGGGTCCCCCTGGAGAGACCGCAGAGGGACTATTGAAAAGTACACAGGTTCCCACGGATGAAGAATTCGGGAGAAGCCGACAGCAGGGGAGCTGGCAGGTGGAGAAGCAGGATGAGAAGTGCGGCCCCAGCTGACTGGAGACAGCTCAGGCCTCGGCCAGCTGTAGGGAGCCAGACAGAGGGTGGCAGGAGTGGGACCCGCCGCCTCCCCAGGATCTCTGGCAGCCACAGGAACGTCAGGCGTGGGTGCCCTGGTTTTCCAGGCCTTAGGTGGCGATTTCCATCCCAGCCTGGAAGGGCAGGGCTGCCCTGCTTGGCCTCCCCGGCCTGGGCCTCACTCTCTGGGCAGAGTGAACAGAGGGGCTCTGGCCTGGGGCAGCCAGCACAGCTGAAGATGGGGGTGCCACCTGGAGACAAGTGGGGAAGTGGACACGCTGAGCCTAGGTCACGTGTCAGCTCTGGCCTCCCAGACCCAAACCTCTGCGGGGAGGTGTGAACACCCCTCTCGAGGCAATCTGATTTCGAGGAAAGACAGGAGGAAGAGCCGGAGTTCTGATGTCCAGCAGTGAAACGGCTCCCATACCAACCAGCCACCAGCTGGACAGTGCTCCACACTTACATCCCAGCAGCTCCTCATGAGGACAGCAGAGCTCCTGTTAGAGCTGCAAGCCACCCAGACAAGCAGGAAAACAGCGTGGGGACAGAGGCAGCCCAGGAAGGAGAAACCTCACTGACCCCTCCTTATCCTCACCTGGGAGAAGTTGCTCAGTCTGGTGAGCAACACATGGGCCAGGCCCTGGTCCCAGCAATGAACTCACGTTAGTGAATCTCACGACACCTCCTAAAGCAGGTGCCATCTGCTCCATTCCACAGACAGGACAGCTCCAGGGAGCTCATCATGGGAGCTTGTCACCATGGCTGGGATTTGAGGCCAGGCAGTTCTTCTCTAAGGCCACACTCCTGGCCCTCAGCACCTGGCTTCTGTGAAACAAGAACAGTAGCCTATAAAAAAGGAACAAAAAGAGCCTTGTGGAAATTAAAAACAGAGAGCAGCTCAAAACTCAGTAGGAGGAAAATGGAGGCAAAATGTTTCACAAAATAGGAAAGATGGAAATTGGAGAGATTTCTCGAGCAACTAGGTGAATCCCCAAGGACCAACTGACTGGTGATGGGAGCTGCAAAGGAGACAGTGGAGAGGAGGAGCTCCAGGCAGGCAGAGCCCGGGGCCACCTGGAGCAGAGAGCTGGCGCTGGGGGTCTCAGATGTGCAAGAAGCCTCATGGTTGTCACATGGGGTCAGAGAAGGAGGGGACCCGGCATGCTCCCATGGTGGCTGGGGACAGAGGACACCAGGGCCAGACTTCCCTGAAGCCCCCAGTGAGCTCCCAGCCCCTGTGTGTGGGCTGCGTGCTGCAGGGCCTTCAAGGTCCTGCCCAGAGAGGGCTTCCGCCTGGGCGTGGTAGCAAGGGGCCTCGAGCCCTACCCTGGTCCTCAGCCTCAGGGGTGGTGGCCAGGGCTGCAGGGCACGCTGAGGAGGCTGGGCCAGGTGGAGGCCATGCGAGGCAGCCCAGCCGGCCCTATGGCATGGGACACTCCTGCAGATGGGCAAGTCAGTCCCTTGTCTACCAATGAAGCCGGGGCCTCCTGGGCTAAGGCTGGCTCGGGCGTTCCCGGAGAGGGTACTGGAGGGACTTGGGGAGCCCCAGCTCCTCTGCTCGCCCACAAAGAACACTTCCCTACTTGCCTGTGGGACCGGGCACACGGTAGGTGCCCAGTAGGCATTTGCAGGGCAAGTCCGTGAGGGAGAGGATGGCAGGAAGGCACACCTGCCGTGGCGGCCTGGAGTCCTTAGCTGGTGTCCAGGGGTCAGAGGCCAGCGAGACCCTGGCTTCCAGGCCTGGCCCTGCCTCTGACCAGCTGTGAAGCCATGGACAATTCTCTCGCCCACTCTGGGCCTCGGTCCCCATCTGCCTGATGAGAGGGGTGGGCTGGGTGTCCTCAGCCCCCTAGCAGCATGAAGCAGAGCACTGGGTGAGGGAACGGGGCCACAGGTCCGTGGTTGAGTGGGTAGGTAGGTGGGTGCCTGGAAACCAGGAGCCCCAGCTTGCCCTCTTTCTGCTTCTGCCAATTTCTATTTGGATGCCTCCTCCAGGAAGCCCTCTGTGCTTTCATGCCTCCCCACCCCCGCACCCCCAAGGATTCCTTTATATACTGTTACCACTGGACGGAGTGTCAGTGTGCTGCCCAGAGCAGCCAGCAGGAGGTGGCTGCTGGCCCCAGGGGAGAGACAGTTGACATTCCTAGATGATGTCTTTACCTCCTTGGGAGCTCCCTGTCCATAAGCTCTGTGCTGGCAGCTGGGTAGGGCTTCCTCTGTAGCCCCTCCTGCAGAGCCTGCTGCCGTCATCACCACTGTCCCCCCGAAGAGTGGGTGGCCGTGAAGGGTGAAATCCCCCTTGACAGAGTGTGCCGTTCCCAGTCGGGTGGCTGTGGGAAAGGGCCAGGCTCACGGTCCCTGGCACAGCACCCCACGCCCCCAGCGGACACTCCCAGGGCACTGAGGGCCAGGCTTTCCACTGGCTCAGAGGCAGCAACGACGCTGAGGCTGCTGGAGATGCAGGCCGGGCCCAGGGACATCTTCGGCCCGCCGCAGGTCATTGCAGGTTCTCTCAGGCGGACTCTGGCCCGAGGGCCTGCAGAAGCTCTCGGTGGCTGGGAGCTCGGTAGAGAGAATCTCAGGGGAAGGGTAGGCTCTTCCCCTCCTGGGGTCTCGTTTCCCCTTGTCCACCCAGTGGGTCATGACCCTGCAGACCAGAGGTGGGCCTGTGAGGAGGCCTCCTGCTGGGGGGCCCTGCCCTTCCCCGAGACGCCCGCCCCCCCATCCCCCACCCCAGAGATGCTGCTCACCTGATCTGTCGCTGGCGCAGGGTAGGGGCGTGGCTACCACTGAGGTGCTCGGCTCTCCCTCCCCAGGTCCAGGACGCTGTGAAATGCCGTGTGGTTGACCGGCAGGAGGAGGGCAACGGGGACTCAGGAGGCTCCTTCCAGAACGGCCACGCACAGCTCATGGTAGGACTCAGGGCCCGGGGACTCAGGCTGCCCCACCCATCTTGTACCCCCGCCGGGTGCCTCCAGGCCCTCACCGTGCCCCAAGCTCCCCTAGGCCCCAGCAGCCCTGCTGAGAGGGGCTCTGAACCCAGTGTGCAGCTGGGAAAACTGAGGCTCGCCAAGTGGAACCCCTGGTCCGGGGTTTCCAGCTGGGAAGGGCTGAGCTGAGTTTGGAGGTCTCAGCGGAGGCTGCGTCCACCCCACACTCACCCCTGCTGGCAGCAGTGCCTGTCTGGCTGGACACCGCCCTCTGAGCATCCCAGCCCTCATCTCAAGGTCCCCATCCTCACGCCTCCCAGGCCCACCCTCATCGCCCTCCATCCCCACCCAGGAGTGTCCTGCTCAGCTGCCACCTAGGAGTCCAGCCTAGCCTGCCCATCCCCTGCCCCTACCCCACGTATTCCCACCTGCTACCTCCCTGGTGCTCCCTGGGTGCTGCCCAGGCCTCAGCCCCTGCAGGGGTGGTGACCCTCCCTTGTGGCCCCTGGCCATCCTGCCTTCACCCTCTATGGGCTCTCTGCCCTCGCCCTGCCCATCCTGGTGTCCTCAGCCCTGTGTTCTGCATCCCCTGCTCCTGCCCGCACCTGTGGCCCGCCCTCTTTACAGCACAGCATTCCCAGGACACGCACAGGCCCTGGGAGGGCAGCCCAAGTGGCAGCTTCTACATAAGGGCCCCCAGCAGCCCCCCATGGAGCCTCAACTCTTCACACCTTGACCTTAGCATCTTCTTCCTGCAGCCCTGTGCCCCCAGGGCCCAGCCAGGACCGTGGTGGGCTCTTAGTCACCAAGTCTGCTCCCACCCACACCCGTCACTAGACCTCCTGCCTCAGCACCCGGGGGCTGGCACACAGGGTGGAGCCGGGCCCCCTTCTCCACCCTCCAGGCCTCAGAACAACATCCACGCCCTGGCCTGGTGCTAAGCAGAACCCGCAGCTGTGCTGGTCTTGCTCCTGCCCCTGTGTCCTTCATACAAGCTTCCACCCTAGGGGTTGCCCACCCTGCACATTCCCGTGGGTCCCCTCCTCCAGGGAGTCCTCCAAGCTTCCACCCCAGGGGTTGCCCACCCTGCACGCTCCTGTGGGTCCCTCCTCCAGGGAGTCCTCCCTGACTCTTGCCCCGTCGGGCCACCTGTTTGGGCTTAGGCCACACCCCAGGTGAACTCTGCACGGCTGGCATGCAGGAGGTGCTCCCAGGGTCCCAGGGTGCCTGGCCATCTCATGGTGGTCGTGAAGCTCACAGGCAGGGCCTGTCCTGGACAGATGGCATGTCCAGCCCCGGGTGAGGGTGAGGTCCTTTGGTGAGACGGCCACCTTGGCTCTCAGGTGACGTCCAGGCAGGCCCCTCACAGCTCCATGCCACAGTATCTCCATCGGCCAGGGCGCAGGTGTCCGCCAGTGGCTAGCTTGTCACTTTGGGACACAGCTTCCCCTCCCCCAGTGTTTCTCCTGGCCTGACCTCTGATCCCAGGGGGAAGATTTCATTGTCTCCAGCCAACCCAACCCCTGCATTTGCAGGGAAGAAACCTCCAGGTTTTCTGTGAAGGGCAGGCCTGTCCCCTGGAGCCCCAGGGCCCCTGGAGAAGGACAGCCACAGGCCTGGGCAGGCCCTGGGCTCCCTGAGGGTGGGCCTGGGCCGCCCACTGCTGCTTCCCCAGCTGACTGTCAGCCTGCTGTGGCTGCCTGAGGTGGTGGGTGCTGGCCTTGGCCCTGAATTGCATGTTTAAACCCCCTCCACCGCCTCTCCCCAGCCCGTGGGTAGGGCCCCCTTGGAGGGATGTGGGGGACCAAGGGTGAGAGTTCTGGTGCCACAGGCCCAGGCCTAGGGGGAGAGATGAGACCGGAGGAGGCAGGAGGTCCTCAGCTCCCCAGATGCCTTGCAGAGAGCACACGTGTGCTATACAAACAGGCTCACACACACGTACGTGCGTGCACACACACAACCTCAGAAACACACAGAGCCACATACAGAGATATACACACACGTACATGCACCAAACACTCAGACGCATTCTGTCACGTTTACAAACGCATAAATCCACACATAAACACGGGGACACAAATTCACCACTTATACACAGACACATCCATAAGCACGCATGTGCACTCACACTCACATTCACACATGCATCCATCCAGAGACGCAAACGCCCGCCACACGGGCAAGCGCATAGGGAGGCGCGGTCGCCCACGTGGGCACTGGGCTGTGAACGTGGATGGGGGTTCCTTGGGGCAGCCGAAGCACCGTGGCCCTCCTGAGCGATCTGTGCACGCGTGCACACAGCCCCGCTCCCAGAGGCGCTCACCCTGCCCTGCCGTCTCTGTCCTACAGACCGACTTCGAGAAGGACGTGGATCTGGCCTGTAGATCAGGTGAGCGCCCGACAGGTGAGAGGACAGTGCCAGCCCGACCCCCTGCACGGCCCCACTCCATGCCTCCACCTGTGCATCACCCGCGTCACTCATCCCTGTCCACCCCTGCCGCCCCCACCCACACCCAGCCACACCATCAGGCCCACCCACACCCAGCCACACCATCAGGCCCACCCACACCCAGCCACACCATCAGGCCCACCCATGTGACCCCAGGAGAGCCAGGATTGGTGTCCCTTTAGGCAGGTTTCAGCTGCAGGCTGGCAAGGCCTCTGGACCCTGTGGAGTGGAACCTGGTGAAGGGATGCAAGGAGCACAGCAGAGGTGCTGACGGGTGTGTGGGGTGACACACAGAGAGGGCTCCCGTATGGTTGGCAGTTGGGCTGAGGTCACCTGACGTCACATCAGGCACTGGGGTTCCTGTGATGGAGGCATGGGAGGTACCCTGGAGTGTGTAGTCATGCAGCCCACAGCTATGTCAGTCCAACCAATGTCGGCCTGAGCTTCACAGCAGCCCCCACCCCCCACACTCCCACCCCTCTCTACCCGGCAGGTGAACATGGTCATTGGGATCCTGGTGTTCAACAAGCTCGTGTCCAAAGACGGCATCACGGACAAGAAGCTAAAGGGAGCGGGCAGGGGTAGGACCAGGGGCCATGCGGCTCCTTGCCTGCCCGGAGTGCAAGATCCAGAGCTCCACCCAGCCCCGGGCTCCCGGGATGGAGGATGCCATGCCCGGTCCGGAGACTGCATGTCCAGGGACCCTGGAGCGGTGAGACGGAGACTGGGAGTACAGAGGCCCCTTAGGCTGAGCCAGCTCCTCTCTCACTGTGCCACAGTTTCTCCATCTGACCTGGGCAGGTGGACCCTGACAAAGTCCCTGGCAGCGTGAAACTGATTGTGCAGGACACCCCACTCTTCCCGGCTCACAGGTGGCAGGGCACCCCCGAGGCAGTGCTGTGGTCTCCAGCCTCCTACCTCACCAAAAGTGCCTTCTGTTGCAGCCAAGGGGAGGAGGATGTCGCCTGTCCATGCAGGGACTGTCCTGTGGGACCTGCATCAAAGGAGGAGGACGGTGCAGGGAGACAGGTGGGAGCTGATGCTCTTCCTCCAGGGAACCCAAGCCCAAGGAGAGGCTTCCAGCATAGCAGCTGACAGGGCCCAGGAGCAGGGTGGGAGGCGCTGGGATGTGTGGCTGCGCCACCTTCAGGACAAGTCCTGGGCACGGGAAGTTATATGGGCATGGGAGCTGACTAGGGTGACGAGCCCTTTGTCCCCTCCGCCTTCCGGCCCCCGCCCATCACCTCTGCCTGCTTCTCTGTGTCTTCCAGCCCTGCTGGTGTCTGTGGGCCCCCTCCTCCGTGCCAGTCTTGCTTGGATGCTCTGTCTCTCTCTCTGTCTCTCTCTGTTCCCTGTGTCTGTCTCTTCCTGGCTCCTCTTGCTGTCCCTAGTGAACAGAATCTTCAGGAAGCCTTCCCTTGGGTGCCTGTGGGTTCTGCTCTGGCCAGGAACCAGCCGAGCTGGGCCCCGATGCTGAGGTGTGTGAGTGGCCTGCCCGGTCACTCGGGGTGGGAGTCCCGGTGCTTTGTCTCCTGGCCTGGGAAGTGGAGGCTGGAACAGATTTCTCTAAGGTTTTACCCACCTGCCCCGTAACACCCTGTCCCACACTGCTCCCGAGACAGCAGTCAGCACTCTGAGAAGAGGTCCCCATGGCTGCACATCCGGGTCTGAGCAGCAGACTGCTCTGTCAGCATCTGGTCAGAAAGCAGCAGTGATCTCGGGTGCTCACCCATGTGGATGTTTTGTTTGTTGCTTAGAATAACCATGGTGGTGATTCTGTGGGTATGTTCCCATCTTACAGCTGAGTAAAGCGGAGGTTTAGGGAGGGTGAGTGACTGGTGGAGCTGAGTTTCCAGTTTGGGTGGGCACACACTAGAGCCAAGCCCAGGCGGGGCCACACTCTGCCCACCTCGCCCCGTGTGTGCAACGGCCAGCTGCGTTAGGTGCACACATCCGGGAGCACACCTGTGACTCGCCTGCATGGCCGTGTAGGATCTGGCTGCCCATATAGACAGGGATGGAGGTTGGGGTGGAGGGGTGCCCAGTACACTGGTCTGTGTGTACACGCACGCCCACACGCATGGGCGCACACGCGTGCATGGCTATTACTTTTCAGGAGGGATCTGGTGCACGAGGTCCCTGCCCAGGCCGGGGCTCCCTCAGACACATGGGAAGGGAGGCTGTGCAGTGGCCTCCTTGGAAATTTTGCCACTTTGTGCGGACGGGAGTCAGGGTCCACCTCAGCTGAGCACAGGAGCGCCCGTGCTGCCTCCCCCACGCCTCGCCACGTGCAGCTTCACAGCCCTGCCCACCCACAGTGCCCACGCCAAGGCCTGAGTTCGTGAAGGCGGCCGAGAGCCCCCAGGACTGTCCCTGCTGGAGCATCCAGGCTGACTCCTGAGTGGCTGGTTTTGCACTTTGGCCCTGCCCCTCCTGCCTGGGTTCTGAGAGCAGAGCGCTTGCTTTTGTTTCAGCCTTTAATTTCACTTGCAGTCAGCCGCCCCGCACCCTCTCGGGTGCACCCTCAAGTGTGCCGAAAGGTGGAGTCCTCTCTGCCGCCGATGCCACCTCCGATGCCACCAGTAACGCCATGTTATGCTTCTGCTGCCACCTCCTCCTAGGCCCACCCTAAGCTCTGCGCCTCTGAGTCACCTTTTGTTTATGTTTATCTTTCATTTCTTCCTTCTGCCGTCCACTCTGGGTTTAGGCCACTTGTCCACTGATTCCACTGCTCCCCAGCTCCTCCTTCCATCCTGCCCGTAGGCCTCGCTCTACGCCCTGCAGCACAAGGCACCACGGGTGCAGGGCGGGGCTGGGCCTGGGCACGGGTGGAGTGCAGCTGTGGGCTGGGCTGCGGTTGGGAAGGAGCGGTCAGTCCTGTCCCTCCAGAGCCCGAGTGTGTGCCAGGCTGCAAGCTGTGGTTTGTTGGTTCTGGAGTTGAACTCCACCCCACCCCTGGTGCTGCTGGCATGGAGCCCAGGAAGGCTGATGCTTGGGCAGGGGTCTGTGTTCGACAGCCCCACAGCTCTGTGTGGGGCGAGGAGACTGGCCCTGGCTTGGCCTAATGGGAAGCCTCCTCCTGTGAGTGCACGTGAGCACGCATGTGAGAGCATGGCTAGGTATGTGCACGCATGTGAGTGTGCATGCGTGCCAGTGGGTGTGTGTGTGCCTATGCAAGAGTGTCACCAGGTGTGTGCATGTGTATGAGTGCATAAGGGGAGTGTACATGAGCGTGTGTTCGTGTGAGAGCATGACCAAGTGTGTGTGTGCGCACGCCCATGTGAGAGCACTTACTGCCCAGGTTTTAATTTCGCTTTTGTAGCCTACTGCCCCAGTGCTCCTTGGGCACGCCTCAGGTGTACTTGGAGTGGAGTTTCAAGCTGCTGGGATGCCACCTCGGGGGCACAAGTGTGCAAATGTGTGTACAGGTGTGAGAATGTGCCTGATGTGCATCATGTGAGTGAAACCCGATGTGCGAGCATGTGAACGCATCTATGTGTGCATATGTGTGAGCGTGCATCTATGTGTGCATATGTGTGAGCGTGCATCTGTGTGTATATGTGTGGAGCGTGCATCTGTGTGTGCATATGTGATCGTGCATCTATGTGTGTACATGAGCGTGCATCTATGTGTGTGTACCTGTGAGCATGCATCTGTGTGAGTGCAGCTCAGTGTGTGTATGTGTGATCGTGCATCTGTATGAGCGTTAACCGTGTGCCTACGTATGAGCAAGCATCTATGTGTGCATATGTGTGAGCGTGCATCTATGTGTGTGTACGTGTGGAGCGCAGCATCTGTGTGTGTGTGTACGTGTGAGCGTGCATCTGTGTGTGTGTACTCCTGTGAGCATGCATCTGTGTGTACGTGTGAGCGCACTGTGTGTGTGTGTACGCGTGAGCGTGCATCAGGTAGTGTACCTGTGAGCATGCATCTGTGTGGAGTGCAGCCCAGTGTGTGTATGTGTGATCGCATCTGTATGAGCGCAACCGGTGCTTCACGATGAGCAAGACCACATGCATATGTGTGGAGCGTGCATCTGTGTGTAGTGTACCCGTGAGCATGCATCTATGTATGTGAGTGCAGCCCAGTGTGTGTATGTGTGAGCGTGCATCTCTGTGAGCTGCAACTGGTGTGCCTACGTATGAGCATCGATGTGTGTGAGTGTGCATCTGTGTGTGTACCTGTGAGCGCATCTGTGTGTGAGTGCAACTCAGTGTGTGTACGTGTGGGTGTGCATGGTGTGAGTGCAACCTGCATTTTGTGTGGGCGTGTGTGTATATGTGTGTGTATATAATCGGGCATGTGCCTGTGTGTGCAAGTGTGTGCATGTGGGTCTGCATGTGAGTATTGTGTATGTGGGAGTGTGTTTATAGGTGAGTGTCTGTGCGCGCGCATGTGTGCCTGGAGAGCAAGAATAACCAGGGCCAAGGGAACAGGGAAGGAAGGCTCAGAGTCAGTGGCTGCTCTGTTGGCTTGGGCAGCCTTAGGGGCTGTGTGAGGGAGGGCGGTTTGGGCTTAGGTGGGGCCAGTTGGCCTAGAGTGTCTTTGGGGTTTGATTCGAGGGGTCATCTTGTCCATGCCCTGCCTCTCAACCCAAGGTGAGCCTTCACGGCTGCACCCCCAGGTGCATACCCTGTACCCTCCTGCTTTGCTCCCTGAGCTAGGCACCTGGGGCCCAGGGTTTTAGGAGCCATGGGAGAAAGAGCCTTGGGCCCTGGTGCTGTGCAGATGCGAGTCGGGGTGAGGCTAGCCTGGGTGGGAGGAGTAAGCTCGGAGTTGGGGCGGCGTCCACTGGCCTGCCAGGCCCTGGGAAGTTCCGGCCCTTGGGGCTAGTTTGTGCTTTCTTTGTCTCAACACCCGGATGGGGCGGAGGCTGTGAGATCGGCCCGCCTCATTCCATCAGAGAGAAGCGGAGGCGGAGGCTGGGAGATCGCCCGCCT